GGATTTATCCAAGGACATGGTGACAAACCCCAGGTACCAGGAGGCAAGGTGGGGATAGTAGTAGGATCCAGTTCTAGGATGTTCATGAACTGCTAATGCACAATGGCAACTTTACCRCTACAGCAACGATAATTAAGTATATTGCTTAGGAAAGGATGGGCAAGCCCCCTGTACAGGATGGAAGGACTGCAGGGAAAAGCTTACTGGACAAACTGGCTGACAGGAAGAGGCATGTGAGGCTGCCTTTTCTGTTAGTCACACAACCTGCAGCACCTATATACTAGAATATATAGAAAGTTCTTTATCAGACAACAAAGCTRAAGAAATCCACCCCAGGTACCTCATTATAAACCTGAGTTTTCCTTTATATTCATGCTTGGAATTTGCTCCCTGCCACAGGCAGCAAGATGCCATAGCTGAGCTGCTGGGCAGCAAGCCCCAGGCAGGATGCAGGTGTCCCTGCTGGCCCTGGGAAACCCAACCCTGTGCTCCCAAGGGAGGGACAGAGCCCTGCAGGGAGGCTCCTCTGGGAGCCCAGAGCAATGGGAAGTACAAAGGGAAGGTGACACACAGACAAGGGAGAAAGGACAGGGTCTCTATTCAGGATCACACATGTCCTCACCACAATACAGCAGAAAAAAATGCCATCCATTCAGCTTCTCTTCAAGACCATCCTTTGATCAAGACAGCATTTCCTGACAGAAAACTAGCACTGTGGACAGGAAGGGGGTAGAAATTAACAAAATCTAAACTCATGAGTCCACATTCACCAGAAATGATTCACTCTTATTTCCTGTTGCTCACCACACAAAGCAAAGTAATGGGGACAGTGTGAAATCTTGTTGAAGCTCAAACAGCAGATACTTTTAGGAGGAGAATTGTAAAAAGCAACTGAGCTCTTCAAAGAATAAAAAYAAAAGCAGAAATAGATACACTCCCAAAACACAAGCCAAACACAGGGCCTACTGGTGATACAACCTACGGAGATGGAGGAATTCCACTGGAAATGAAGCAAAGGGAAATACAAGCTCCTAAGAGAAAAAGCAGKAGAGAGTCAGGACAAAAAAAGCCATTAAGATAGCTGGATGTAAGAGTTYCTAGGCGATATGTGAGTTAGAAAAAACTTAGAAATCAAAGATACTGTCCTCTGCTGTTCCTTTTGTATGTTCAAAGGGTCTTGTAAGCATGTCTTTATAAAAGCAGTTTATCTCAGAAACTACTGACTCTAGGCATCTACTTCTGCTCCAAGAAGGAAGCAAACAAGGAAACAAAAACCAAAAGTCCTCCAAGCTCCTAAAATAAGCTAAGTGCTTGAACTATAGCAAGYAACAGAAATACAGACTGAAATCCATGTCCTGACTCATTATCTACCATGAAAAGATTGATTCCAGAAGTGTACTCAATCTTAATTAAGAATTAAAAGCAAGATTGCTTGCATTTCTATTGCACTGTGATATAAATCGCTTTTGTTTCATTTTAGAAAACTTTCCAAAGTTTCCTTTTCAGAATAAGGTGCTATTTTTGGTTCGGTTTTGTTCTGCATGACACATCTGCACTAAGGACCAGAGAAGCAGACAGTACTAAATTATGGCACCTACACAGTGTCCAAACCCTTAAGGACTAACATTTTGGAGAAACTTACTTGAATGACAAAATTTAAACTTTTTAGTGGGCACAAGTTTCTAGAAGCAACTATCTTCAGTAACTGAGGAAAGGAGAGCATACTGCAGCACAAATACTCCACGTGTACTTTGCAAGTGCTCAGTTACAACAGTTTGAACAGAGAACACATCTATGCCACATACATATCCTATCTGTTTTAGTTCATGCTTTGGTATTTTGCATTTGAAAGAACATTTCACAAAGGAACATTTTACTCCAATACCTGCTCCAACTTCTGGATTGTCCCTATTTTCATATTCTGAACTCAGAAGAACCAGGTAATGCAATAACTTGAATTAAATGGGGAAGTGGCACTGCAGTTACTCACCCTTCAAAGACTGAAGGAACTAAACACAAAGCAGCCCAGGAAGACATTWGGCAAATTACTTCACAGAACAGAAACTCATTAGAACGGTTACACTTCTGTCAAACATTTAAAGATTTTGTCATCTGCAAAGACTGAATACCTGCAAAGAGGTACAGAGGTAATACAGAGGTAACAYACTTTGGTAACAGGCAGCCTAACAAACATTAGTGACAGCGCTAAGAGCAGTTTGTACTATAAAAGGGATACTTACTTTTTGTTGGCTTCACTTCAGATTCATAAAACATTATCTTTTGTATATGCTTTAGGTACATCCTTGCCTACTCAAGGCAACGAGYAGTATATTTACTGGTAAACTATGAATAAATAAATCATGAGTAACCATAAAATGAAGACACCACAAGAGCCAAGTTTGATGACTGTACATGGTTATTTTTGTGTTGCTGGGAGGCAACAGCTCCTGGAACAGACAGTAAGCCCATACTGAGGTCACAACGGCTAAAGACAAACCAGCACTGAGGATGCACCTCTGCTTCCTGGCTTTAGCATGGCAAATATTAACACAGCAGCAAGATGAACATTTCACTATCTTTGCGGTCGTCTTGAAAAGAGTGGAGTGGCTCAAAACACCAATTCAAATCAATGCTTGTTTCAAATCCAGTTTTATACTGCCCTAAGTTATTTGTATTATGCAAGTTYTGTTTGTTATTTCCAGTTAACATTTGGCCAAGTGACCTTCCTAAATATTTCAGAATAGCTGTTGGCCAAACAAAAACTATTGAATAAATTGTTTCATAAATTACTTCTTGTAATCCTAAGTAACATAAAATCTGTTACTAGAAACACTGCTTGGTTTATGTTACCAGTGAGGTTTAGGACTGCATTTCTTGTTACACAAGCAACTTACCACGCATCTTAGTGCTGCATCTTCTGTATGTCTTGGTGAGCAAAGCTGAAACCTTCCCATCTGATACGTGAAGCTCTGCAGCTGCTGTAACAAAGCCCTTCTCAAATTCATYCAGAGGTTTCAGAAGTGAAATCTGAGATTCCCTTGAGACGCAGCTTCACAGTTAGGTCAGTATCTTTCCTTGGGATATTTCTTATCTTTGCAGATCAGCGATACTGAATCATTTGGTCTTATGTTGTCCAGGATTACCAGCTAAAACCTCTTACTCTCCCGACAACGCAAGCACCACAGCTGAAGCCTGGGGCTGGAGACAAAACAACTCCGAGCATTTGTTTCTTCAGCCCTTCAGAGGGACATTTTGAAACACAGCTGCCGTATGATTGTTGTGYTCACAAATGTCTCTACAACATAAGCATGAGAGTTGCCTTGCCCATCACAGCACTTAAGATCAGTACCTTAATGACCATAGTTGTTACCTGATCCACGGGAGCACTGGAAGATGCTCCAACAGCAGTTCAGACCTTGAGCATTCAATACACTGGAAAATAGGACGACGCACAGACATCACGAGGCACTTCCCATTGCAGATGTGATTCTCTATTCTCAGAGCAAGGATGCTTGATTTTTCTCACATGGAACATTTCCATGCACAGAGACACATATACATAAATTGAGACGCTCTCAATGCAGAGACATGTACATAAATTGAGACCCTCTCAGTACATTCACATGAAGTATGAAATGAGTAACTACACATAACACAAAAATCCAAAATGCCTGTACAATCATTTTACAGTTAAGCTGACAAGAAGCTAGGAACAAGCAAAACATGAATGTTCCAGACACCTAAAACAACTAAGATAATTCAGAAGTCATTCCTGCATTTATAAAGGATGCACACTGATGCATCTACAAAYACCAAATTTCAAGTTTTAGCAAGTCTTCGGTTCCTGCCTGTCCTGGAGTGGTTTCTGTCTGAACTGCACCTTGCACTGCTAAATCACAAAGTGACACAAACATGGAGCCACTGGGCCAAGCCAGAAAGCAAACATTAGCAGGACTTCAGAAACAACTTTACCCAGGTGAAAGGACTGCATTTGCTGAGCCAAAAGAGGTGCCACAAGTGTCACACACACGTGCACTCTGTGCTCACGTTAGGGGACTGTAACTTCCAAAGGGAGCCAAGCAGCAGGAGCATTAACAAGGTGCCTTCCTTGGGAGCAGGGCTTGCCCAAGGAAGGAAGCACAGTCAAACACTTGGCCTAGAGCACCGTGCCTGGCAAAGTCATCCAGAGACCTTGACACGGAAGGAGGCYGCACAAAACACCCATAGCAACAGCTTGCTCATTGTTCCTTGGAAAAGGAACACTGGAAAACAAGGAAACGCTGCTCTGAAGCAGGAGGCAATTCCAAGCGACTGGCACAGCTTTGTAGCCTTAATRCAGAATTCACCCTGGCTCAGCAATAGCCAACACATTATGAGTAAAGTTCAGGTTGGTTTAGGAACAATGAATCTTCCCATCTCTAATTCCCTTCTTTGACCATAAGGAAAACAACCACCGCCTGCTTTKATTAGTCTTCTCCTTTTTCCATCCCAATGCGTGGTACATTTTTTCTCCCTAAATCAAGAGTCACGCACATGCAAGAGTAATTATGTAAAGCCTTCACATACTGCCAAAACAGCTTCAAGTCTTAAAATAACTGTATTTCCAGGCACATATCATGCCTAACACCACTTATGCATTTTTATTCAGAGTTAAATAGATCTAYGCTGTCATTTAATATAATAAATATTTTGAGATAAGCATTTTACAGTAATAGCCTCATTTCCACTGAAAAAAAAATCAGATTTTTCCTGCCTAATTAACACATTCATTTCCTCCATAAAACAAACTGCAAATGGCTTTATGACTTAGAGCTTACAGCCTTCCTGCAAAAAGCTCTACTTTTAAATCAGTTAGGGGACATCTCGGGATATTTTGCAGATTTAGTGTTTTGAGTTTTTTTAAATACTTAAAGGAGAAAGACTTCCCTGAATATAAATTTGATGCTTATGCTAACATAGTTGATGTTTAGCTGATTTTTTTCCCCAGTTAAAAATATCAAGGTCTCAATTGAGATAAGTTGGAAGATGAGTTGGAAGCTAGAAGAAAATACAGTGAATGAAATACTAATATCTGATATTTTCCAGTGAACAGGTATACACAGAAAATAAAGACATGAAAAGGATCACAAAATAAAGATGATTTAAAAACAAGAGATGAGGAAGCAAGAAAGCCAACAGAACCCTACCTTTTTCAAAATGTACATAGTAACATATATAACTGATATCTTCTCAACAAAAATAGGAAACCTTGCAGCARCTGTTAATCAGGACACAAGATGACTGAACTGAATTACTTTTCAATTAGGAGGAACTCCACAAATAAAATCCCAAATCAAACAATTGGGGGAAAGAAGAATTGGAAAGTACTTTTCCTTCATTCAGCTTCAAGGAAGGACTTGGCAAACCCTGTCTCTGTTCAAGTACGTACATTGTGTCCCAAGAACTACTCAGCTCGTGGTTGCCTGCCAGAAAATCTGTGAGCTACTTGGTCTGCTAGGTGCTCCCGAAGTAGGGCCGGCTTGCTTGCATAAACTGACTTGGGAGAGCTAAGAAACAAACAAGTCTAATTTCTGTGAYTCTCTTCTGATACTCCCAACATGTAAAAGAAACAGTTGAAGTGAACCTGGACAGGCAGAAATGCAGTGTATGAATTACTTCACAGCCTTTCAAAAKAAGTCCTGTTCTTTGGGAACTCCCCAAATTCCATTCAAAGTTACTGAGATCATCCGGGCTTGAACACAAGAATATGTAAGAGGCAGCACTGCCAGGATAACTCTCAAAGGGCCTCTGCACAGAATGGTTCCTCCTGCTAACGAGCTGTGGCCAGTCCAAACATGTCCACCGTTATATAGGTTTGTCCGACAATATTTGGTTGCAAAGGAGAAATGGCAATTGACTGGCTTTTTGGTTCATTCTTGTTGTGTTCTGGCAAGCTCTCAGAAATGAGAAATTCCCTTGTATTAACAGAATTTTTAAGGTATGGATTGAACACTACTTTTTCACTGAAATCCAAGAGATTTGAAACTTCTTCCTTCCTTTCTTCAATTTGATGTGAAGTAGGTTGGAATTCATGAACACCATCCTCTGGCAATTCTACAGGCTGGATTTCCTCAGCTGCCATCAAAGGTTGAACTTGACTTCTGAAATCCTGATCAGCAATTGTGTAAGGCATGGAGAGTGAGAGAGGCTGGGCAGCTTCATGTTCTTCATTTAATGGTATCTTCTCATCTAGGTCAGTTGTGCCTTTTGTATTAACATCAGCATATTCTGAAACATGTGTTTCATGACTCATTGGTAGCGAGTGTTCATGTTCTTGAGGAACACAGGGCTCCAAAACACTTATATCTTCCAAGCCATCCATAGTTTTATCCTCAGATGTTATTCCCTTCAAGGCTGAATTCTGWCAGTACAGAGATCAATTTCAAGATTAGGATAAAGGTAGATAACGTAACAAAAGTTTTATGTACAAACATACCCCTATGCATACATTTGCATATATAGAAGCTTAAGCAAACTGCCATTTTAATTCCATCTTTTCATTTCAAAATTGCATTAATGAAGACCAAATGTGCAATTTCAGCTGGAATGTAGTTATACTGTGAAAGACAACTAAAAATATCTGATAAAGTTAATCACTTTGTTTCTTAAAAGCTCTCATAACAAGCTTTCTTCTTTTCAATGAAGGCTCTAAATTAGGCTGGACTTTATCTTATATACTCTGACCAGCACGTTTTCCACACCAAGTTTTACAATCCCATTCTCCGAAAACTATACATTCTGCATAGTCCAGATAAGACCATTTCATTTAAATAACTTTCAAAAATCACTAAGCAGCAAACACAAAAAGAATTAAATCTGATTAAATGTTTTGCAGTCTGTGGTGGGGAGATTTTGGGAACTATCCAGACTTTGCTTTGGCAATCAGGCAATACACTCAAAGCTGAGAATTATACTCTAGTGTATTTAATGAGTCATGCATCAAGCGTAGCATTATCATACAAAAATTTAAGGAACATGCTTCATAAATCTGCATCTTCACTAATGTGAAATAAAACTAARAATATTTCATTTGTTCTTTTCTTATCTATTTAATACTTCAATTTAAGCATAAAATAATTGGAGGTGCACTTCCCATTTGTCTGTTTTCTCGCTTTTAATGAAAAAATTTGAGATTATTACCATAAACGCATCAACCGGCCATTCTACTGCAATGCTCTCTGCAGGATTAGGTATGTCAGGCCAGCAAACTTTCTTAAACCTGTAATTGAGAAAGGAAATTTAATCAACTGAAAGAGATCAAGCATCACAAAAGACTGAATACCACCATAACATCCAACTTCTACAAAGGAAATCTTTCCTATGTTAATCTTTTCCAGKAAAGTTTTTCCCTCGTGTCTCTTTTGTGGGTTTTTAAACAACAACAGAAAAAAATGGAGCTAAAGAAACTGGAGAAAAACTGCTGGAGTCATCATCCTGATTTAAGAGTTTACAGTTAAGTACTATCTGTGGAGCCTAGAAGAGAACATGATTAAGTCATACTACTCAGCTAAAGAAAGACTGCATATGAAAACTGTTGTGTTCGTGTGCCAGGATAGTTCAAATGAAGAGACATCTTAAGTAAACTTTGATTTAGTGAAAGTGTCACTAGTGCTATGGAAAACCAGGGCTACAATAAGCTGTTATGTGAGAAATTATCACCATCAGATATCACCAATCAGATGCACTGAACTATCTCAGTGTAGATGAATTCCAAGAACCCTTCAGTTGAACCGATCCTCAAATAATTCATTTGCCATACTGTTATAGGAGAGATACATTTACATACAACCTATTTCCTTGCTCAGTTTTAAATATTAATTTTTGAAAGTGTGTTCCATTTGGACTGTTGCATATAACTGYTGCTACAAGTTAATGTGCATTCTTAGCCTCTTCTTTCTCAAACTGCTACATTTTCTTAATGATCAGTTATCAGTTTAAAGAGAGCGGTTTAGATTGTTTCAAAATCCAATATTAAGCATTTAAAAAAGTAAGATGCCTTTTACAAGTTAAAATGTACTGGAAACAGCATTATGATATATAAAGTGTACTCACATGTGCTTTTTAAGAATACACGTTATCCAAAGGACTAATAAAAACACCATACTCAATCCAACAGGTATAGCAATGGAAATAATGTCCTCTTCATCTTTAAAGAAAAAGCAAAGAGATATTTACYACTCCCTCATGTATTCCCTTATATAAGTTTTAAGCACCTAAGTYATCTAACTAGCACAGTTTTAAAGAGCTCTGCCCAGGATACTGTACAGTACTCTCTGTATYGATCTAACAAGCCATAGCTGCCAAGCCAGGAAAGCAGTCTAGGATGGAGTAGGAACAGTACTGATTCCTTTAAAACTCATTTTAAAGCAATCACACAATAATTAAGACTCAAGGAGACGTCCAGAGGTCATCTTGGTTAACTTGGGAACTACATCAGATGACTGAGGGTCATACTGAGGCAAGCTTTAAATATCACTAAAGATAACAAGCCTACCACCTCTTTGGACAGTTGATGTTTTACCATCTCCTAAAACCACTCTACAGAGCCACTTCTCCCTGTTACTATAAAACAAATAGGAAATCCAATGCAGGAGATGAAGTACCTATAATGGAAACATATTTCAAACATCATGACTGCTGAAATAGCATGCAGWTTTCTGAGGCAGGTAATAAACAGCAAAAACCAATCCTCAGCCTGCCGTAATTTAACTTGCATTTGAACAGCAAATTAGCAGATGCCTTTACAGTCTAAACACACTTTAAAATACCTTTCCTTAACCCCAAAACTTATTTTAAAAATAGTAATAACTAAGCTTGAAGATCACTTACTGAATTTCAAAGTCTTGAAGGTTTTTGGTTCTCCACTGGTTCCACCAGCTTCATTGCTTGCCATGATATGAACTGTATATTGCGTATTTGCTTGCAAGGACTTCAGTCTGTATTGCAGAACATCAGGGTTCACTGTTTCATCTTTTTAGGAGAAGATTTATGGAAGAAAACACACAGTGATTGTCCGAAATAGCGCTGTATCATAAAACCATAAGCTTTAAATAGGCAAAACAACCTCACAAAACATTTTACCCTTAAGAGTGTTTTGAAAACTTTATACCCTCCAGCTGTGGGATACTAAGGTCAGAAATTAACTTCTTAAAATAGCCGGCAAAGCTTGTTCCTGCACATTCTGAAACTGCACTCTCTTCAGACACTGAGCATCCAGGAAGACGCAACGTATCCCATGCTTGGGCATCCCCCATGAGGCCAGAGGAAGCTCCCTGAAAGCAACAGGGAGCTCCCCATCTCCCTTGCCACAAAGTTCTTCTCTGAACAGAACGCAGTATTTCCAACATCTTCCTATTACTGTTCCTATTATTGTATTAATTCAATACAACATGGTTTACTTTTTAAATTGAGGTATGCAATATTCTGTATCTATAAAGAATATTAAAAACATGTTTATATTTTAAAATCAAGGTCACCAAAACATCTTCTACTGTATGAAGCCAAAAATCAATGCACMCCATTACATAACTTGGCCAAGGAAGCAGATGTGCAGCAACCAGTGACACTGTTTGATTTGTCTTGTTCTTGCACAATTGTTCTTTTACCATTAGCTGAAAACAAGCTGCAAAAAGCCTCTTCCGTACTAGCTTCTCTGCACATCTGGGAAAGGCAAGAGGCACATCTGAGAACGAGAAGKGCCTGGGAAATGACAGTGCCTTCACACACATCCCAAGTGTCATGCTTGAACCTTTGAGACACTAGATTTGCCTCCTCTCAATTACAGAGGCAGAAAGGATGCTGTGGATCAATCACTGCTGCACTACCTCAGGTGGAACATTGCTAATAGTAAAGAAAGTTCATCAAGATGAAGCACTGCTGTACAAAATAAACCCACAACAGCGAAAGAAATTCAGTGAGAATGTACAGGTAACATTAAAAACTCAGACATTCACTAGGAATGCCCCCATCATTCCATCCATAAASGCCAGGGCATTTCAGTAATGGTATCTTCAGACGGACACAGCCGGTCTATAACAAAATATGCTAATAACAACAAAAAGTCATTATCCTCGGACAGCAGATTCTTAGAATATTGTTGGAGGCTTTAAYGTATACTTACTCAATTCTTCACCACCTTCAGGTTTATAAAATATTGTATAATTAGTGATAAAGCCATTTTGTTTATCCTTTGGAATTTCCTTCCATTTAATTGTAATTTCATTTTTTCCTGGAATGCCTGTGTCAGCCATAGGTCCTTCTGAGGGTTCTATACATAAGTATTACATATTAAGAAAAAAAATCAAAAYTTCATCCATCCACATTGAGTCATATCACTAGCATTAACTACTGTAATAGTATGTCTTAATAGTGCAATAGCTGCAATACAGTCCCTAACTTTCCTCACCCTAACATGATTATTTCTAGYAGCACCTTCCAGCTTCTCTTTGGGTAACTGAATCCAAGGGCCTTGTCTCTATCCTAAAAACATCAAAGAAACTGAGGTAGAACATCCTTTGATGCTCCTTGCAACAGGAAGGCATTCAAGAGCACRTTCTCGCTGTGCTTGTAAATATGATTACTCGCTGTATTTGTGCTATGTGTGTGTACACACACAGACCTATACATAAATATACACCCCTGAAATCTTAAGCTTATCTGTGAACTTGACCTTCCAACTTGTCACCTCATCTCTTTTTGCCATTTTTCATGTGCAGAACCACATATATTCAGTTGTATTATAAGGCTTAACAWAACCAAGCACTTACAAATACATACATTTTGGCAAATAACAGTCATTGCACCCCTAACATCTAATTAGATATCTAAGCATAGATACAAAGTTGAAGAGATGATTTTAGAAAATGTTTGTGCCAACATCCATAACAAATACTTTATGAACAGTATGTAAACTTTATGATAAATGCATAAATTCTCAGAGCACTGTACCCATATCAAGCCATGTATTTTCTTTATTAAACAATACTGCARAGCTGGGCTGTGAACAGAAATCAGGAAGTCTGACTCCTGGGTTATTTAAATCATCCTTTTCTCTCCTTCAGTAAGGCCCAACACCAGGCTGCCCCAAGGCAATGCACCTTCACAGATGCACTGCAACACAACTCGTAGGTACGTACTTTTTTCTTGAATGTAAGTTTGAATGGAGTATGGAGCTCCTACATTATTTCCATAGAGAGGATACACTGACATGTTATAGCACACAAATGGTTTGAAGGTTTCTGTAAAGAAAAAGGAGACATTTGCATAATTCTCTACATAAAATTCCTAAGAAGAGAAGTATCAAAAACCCTGTAATTTCTTGCTAGAGACTTGCTTTCTAGAACTCTAAGTGTTCTGCTCCATACTTCTATTTTCTTCTCTTTTTAAAAAATAGTGCATATTTGTATTAAGTGTTCATTACTGCATTTAACGCAAATAATTTTAATATTTCTAAGASTGCTTGGATTCTGACTCATTCTTCRCTAAAATTATTCCACAAAAAGTGCCAGGAACAGGCCAGAGCAACAGTAAGGTTGAAGCAGCCTTGAAACATCAAGTCTGACATGATCAGGATAAATCAAAATCTCTCCCACTCATGCTTGGGGAGCAAGGAATTTTTATTGAGAGTTTATAAATAACATTTTATTCCTCACAGCAACTTGCTGGAACAGCTTAGAGCCATTTTCAGCATGAAACTCAGGACTTTTCCACATTCTTAGTTATTAGTTCAAAACTAGTTCAAACGTGTTCAAATCAGCTGTTCATTTTATTTGGCTTTTGTACTTTTTACTGCAACAGAAAAAAGAGCAGAAACATTTCTATTTTAATTAAATATAAATCTGAATATCTGCTGCATGTTAGCATTCATAGTTTTCCCTTTGTACATATTTCTTGACCTCTACACACTGTTGTAAAGTTAGATTTTTTCCTATGGCAAATGCATGCACAAATCATTACTATTTAGAGAATTTTGCGATTTAGAAAATAGGCCTCAAAGAAAGAGGCGAGCAGATCTTCACCTATTTGTCTGTCCATCATAGCTGCTGCTGAAACATCTAAGTGCATTTGGTCATGTATATAAATCTTAATAATGATATTTAACCTGCCAGACTAATTACTCCATTTATTTTTAAGCAATATTTCTCCTGAAATCCTCTCGGATTGCTTACTCTTCCTTTAACACACATGAAGACACATGCTCTTTCCCATCTTTGAACACATTTTGGTTTTTAGATTTCCCTGCTAAGRAAGTGTGCATCTGTTAGACCTGCCTACTTAGAAGTTGAAACCCTTTAGTGTTAAATTCATGCAGCCTTTCAAATATCACTATTATTATGCTTTATGTGCATAGWGCAATGCAATTTACAGCATGGTGGCCTGGATCAGAATATATCACCTTTGGCACCCCCTTTTAAAGGCAGATGGCAGATTCCTGTTAACTTTATCTAGAGGACAGGGGAAGTTAGGTAATTTAATCCCCTTTAGTCTTAAGGACATGCTTTAAGTAGAAAAGTGTTCAATCTGTCCAATACCAGAATAATGCTAACTATATTTTCAAAGGCAACTACTTGTCACTTTATCATTGTGTCTGCTTTCTAGTCTATATATGACAAACATCCATCTATACATTGTCACAGCCATAATTAAAAACAAACATACTCTTGCTAGTTCTCCAGTTTATAGCATTTGATACATATTGCCATGATCTATGCAAAGAATGCATCTGCAGGTCTTCATACCACTCAACAACATATCTGCTTATTTCTGATCTGGAAGGCATCCATTCCACCACCACCTCTTCATCTGCTGTAAAGGTCCTCACACTTTCAACAAACTGAGAAGCTAAAAAACAGAAAACATTAAAATTTAATCTAAAAACTGAAGTACAGAAGTATTTCAGTCACTGCAAGCTTGTTTCATTGGAATGTTTCATTAGAAAAGCATAAGAATTTGCCAAGGTTAAAAAAAGGTTATAAAACGTTATTTAAAAGTACATTCACATTTATGTGATCAAACTTGTAACCAAAAAGATTGAAKGGGGTAGGAGGAGGGAAGAATCAGTGAGATAATGCACAAAGAGATTGACATGTGCAGAATCAAATATAAGCATCTCTTATGACCCACTAGATTCCAAGGAGTGCAGAGACAGAAAAGCAGACTCCGGCTTCAGAAAAACAGAAAATCAGAGTGTATCTATCCGGTAGGTTCACAAACAGTTAAACAAAAGGGAACTACCAAGCTGCTCAGCACAGATAACATTAGGCTGAGTTAAAATGCAACCAGGCAAACACTAAGGAAAAAAATTAATACAGTAAAAACTTGTCACAATATGGAAGCCTCTTACAGTAGTATACAGAAACAGGTATCCAGTAACTTGCAAGACAAGATGACATCATGTCTACACATCTATTTTTCTGATTAGATTATAATGTGACTGGACTGGGATTGAATGAGCAATCCCAGAAGACCACTTGCACTTTTTCCAAAGAGAAAAGGATGTAGAAGTGATTCACTGCGAGAAACAARCTCCCTTCTGGAGCTTGGGCAGACAGCAGAACATTGCAACAGAAGATTAAGGGAGATACCAGAATTAAACTAATTAAACTAATGTATTCTGTTAAACACCTCTTTATACGACCTTGGTCAATGCTCTTTAACAACATTCAGTGGCCACAAACTTCATTAGCTGGTTAAGTAGTTGGGTGACAGACCCAACAGAATTGGGTGGCACTATTTGGGAGGCCCAAGGCTCAAGTAAATAAACAGAATAGAAATCCTAACCACATTGCTAGCTCTTTTATGTGCTAAAGCCAAACAAGAGCCTGAGCAATAATCTTCTGTAAAGGAAGCACCATTACAATAAAGGAAGCATCTGTCAACAAAATATGACAGCCAGAAAGCTACCATTACATCAGTAACTTTCCTTCTGTTCTGAGGTGTGCTGTTCAGTTCAGTCTCTGCAACTACTGGATTAAATGAGACTTGTCCCCCACTACCAGAAAAGTAATGTAAATGAATGTAATGAAAAGTAAGCTTTCTACAGTGTCTCCTATTTAGAGTTCCAACATTCAAAATATCTTACTTTTTTCATCAGTAGATGGAATTCTCAACGTCGCTGCAGGAGAACTTCCAGCAGAGTTATAGGCAGTAACAGATATTATATATGCCTCTTCATTTAAAAACAAAATAATTTTCTTATCAGTAGTGATTTTCATCATTTTAAGAGCAGCATTGTTTTCTGGAAAATACTGTACTGTGTAGCCTAGAATCTTCCCAGGTGGTGGAAAGTGATTTAATGGCTATTAAAAAAAAAACAATAATAAGCATTTCAGTGTCACTTACATCATCAAAAGTATATACTTTATTGAAGCATTTATCTGTAATGATCTGTAATACTACACAAGATAAGCAAGGGGGGAAGGAGGTGAATGGTTTTTTGAATGCAAATATATTCCACTTCACAAATTCATCATTTTGCTACYCAGTAGAGAATCATAAGAATATCTGACTTCTTCAGTAGTTCTGAAACGTTAGAAAGCTTGTTTTGTTTCCATTGTGTCAACGATGCTGTATCTTGAATACTTTTTAATGCTACGTGATGCTCTTAGAATAATTTTATTATCACAAGAGAATAAACACTACTTAGAAATTTCTAAGTGACYTCAGCTAGCACTGCCTAAAGAGACRAGGAAATTTCTTCAGAAGTTGAACTTTTGCATTGCTTAAAATACAGCTGTTACCTATGGCCAAACATCTTTTTCAGTAACTACCATACAAGTCAAACTTCAGCACAATTACTGAGAATTTGCAAAAGTGAAGTGCTTTCCTTYAGTCACATCTGCAGCAATTCCTTTGAAAGAAGGCTTAAAAGTCAAATAGTGAGATTTGAAACACAAAATCTRCGGTCACTCTAGTAGCACAAGGTAAAACACAGCTTTAACACACACTATTACTTAAGACCAGYTTTATTTGTCCATCAGAATTTTTCAGTCATCTGGACATGCTTAGCCCTGCCCCTTCTGCACTATTTACAAAGCTGTATTCATCTGCTGTTATGTCACCAAAAGATTTAATTTCTCCTTTAGTTCAGCRAGGTCCTTTTTGGGTGGCAGGAACACCTGAATGTTTCAGACTTGCCTACAMCACCACAATATTCCAGTGCAACATCTACTGCAAGGTACCATCAAATCAAAGTGTACTTACCTTCCACATGAGGTAGACACTTCTATTTCTGGTATACTGTGAAGATTCAATTACCCTCCACAAATCCAGTTTTTCTACAGGAGCTATTTAAAGATAATAAAAACTATTGAAATTTTCCTAGAGCTAAAGACAGGGTAATATGGCAAAAATGAAATGCTGGAAAATACAGTCCAAGAGCAACTTTTATATCTTTTCTTATATTTGTAATGTGGTACCCTTTTCCCTTTAAGCATTTCCCTTGGAGCTTTCCCTGTCCTTCTCAAAATTTTCCTGACATTCATTTTAATTTTGTTCAGATTTATATCCATTATATTAAAAAAAATCCATCTCTAACTGCTTTCTTTTAAATGGACATTTTAGATTACTGAATTCTAAGGGCAAAGTCTATCTTCTTACATTTATGTGCTACGCACATTGACAGCACTAGATAAACTTTATCTCAACTTGTTTATTCTAGAATATGTAATGGACACTAATAACCTGGTTCATTTTGAGATGAACAATGCAGGAAAGAAGAGTGGAGAAACAGCTTCAACATGTATACAGATATATGTGTGCATATATCTGTTCTGTGCATTATAAAAAAATTTAAAAATATTAAAAAAATTTAATTTGTAAATAACGTACAAGTCATTCAGATTTTTTTGCATTATAGACAGTAAAGAGTTTCCTTTAGACCTGTGTACTTCTAGCTAGAATAAGAATAACAGGAAAAGATGACATTTCCTTCTGCTTTTTTTTGCAAAGCTCTAGAGGAGATGCTCTGGCCTTGGTTAACTGACAATTTCTGTACTTATACTACACACTAACCACATGATGCCTATAATACTACTTAGCACATGCTTATTCTCAGTTTATATGCATTCTCAGTTTTTCCTGTTTTTCTTCCTCTCTATTCTTCCTTTTTTCCTTAGCCTTTTTTGGTATTTAAACATAATTTAGATCTCTCAGAGTAAATGAGTAAATGTTGGGGTTTTTTTTTTTAAAGAAAAAGAAAACTCTAAATTCAATAGACTGATAAGTTTGCTGAAAGTAGTGTTTTCTGTTACTAAATCCTAAATTCCATTAAGTATACCTAAAGAAAAATACACTAATTTCTAGGCTACCTTTCTCTTCCGTGCTTGCTGTTTTTTCTCCACTCCATTCGCTCCAGAACTCGGATTCCACACTGCTGCACTGCACGGCAACCGCGTACTCTGTGGAATCCCACAGACCTGTGAGATTAAGCGACGATATTTTCTCTCCAGAAGTCAGGCTGACAGCAACAGTTTCCTACAAGCAATTAAAAAAATTACAAGAGTAATTCAGCACGAAGTAGATAACTTGATTTTAATGTTAAAAAAATAAATCTAGACAGTATCACTGGTGCACAACAGAAGTACAAACCAGGATACAGCAACTGGCCTTAACCATCGGGCCTCTGCTGAAAAGTGCACCAGACATGGTGCAGACAGACTCTTCTTTAAAAAGCAGGATGGCAGGTGCACTAATGCCTAATGAAACACTAAAACCTCTGAAAATTTTAGTCCATTCTGATCAAAACACTCACTGCCAAGAGATCCAAGAGGATGAATTTGGGGAACTGAAGCACTGGTAAGCTGCCAGCCTATAATTAAAGGGGCTTCAGAACTGCCAGTTTCCTGTAGAACTTGATATGCAGTTGCAGAAAAACAGAGTCTGTCTTTTACTTACGGTCTATCTTTTACTTATTTGGCAAAAAAATAACCTATTATCATCAGAAATTAAATATATGCAAGTAGAGAAATGAGTAGCCTGTTTTTCAGACATACTCTGCCATAATCTATTTCAATTCTTCTATTAGACCATTTTAAAGGTCAAGAAAACAGTATTTGCTCAGACACATTTGTTTCGCATATGTTTGCTCAGAGATAGAAAAGCACCTCCTATTATGATTATTTCAGGCTGTCATCTTTGGCCACTGCCATTCGATTGGCAAAGATTGTTACCTTGATGAGTTCCTCTTCTCTCCCTGGAGGTTTAATGTAAAATACTGAAGTGAAAACAGAGATTTGAACTTCAGGAGGTTTGAAAAAGCCAAACTACTTGACCAATTTGTAAGTTTGGAAGAGACAACAGCAACACTGCAAATGAAACTGCTTCTGTAGGAGAACAAGCTAACATTAGGAAGAAAGCTTCACAGCTCACCGAAGAGTTGGAATACAAGTTTCTGTATCGAACCCGGCACTTTAAGTCCTGATAAGGTATAATCTTCTCAGGTGTTTTCCAGGTTACAGCAAGCAACTGCTTCACACCAGCAATTTTCTGTACTGAAAGTATTTCAGGAGGCTCAAATTTCTCTAGAATGAAAGAACAAAAATATTAACATTAGAAAAAGTTTGATAAAGTAGTTTAGAATTGCTTGGCCTATATGGATTCCAGCAAGTTAAATATCATGTATTTTCTATTACCACATACACRTAACAGGGCATTTTATAGACATYGTCTACATATGGGAAGTTATTTATAAGAAATATTGCACACAAATAAGTTAATGCTAACAAACTTGAACAGATGTGTACATTTCTTTCATCATACAAGCCTTGAATACCAAAGTCTCCTTTCCTTGAGAAGACTCAGGGAAACCACCAAGGAAAGAACTCAAGTTTGAGATACTCTATTCCTTGTATTCAAGCCTGTTAAGTAACACAGGGCTGCAGAAATGTCAGAATGCTCCAGCAAAAAAAAACAAACAACTCAACTAAAGGGGCTTTCTTCTTGTTTGCACCAAGTATTAGGGAATGGGCTCCTCATTCAACTTCTCTACCACAAGGAGCATTTTACTTGCATGATTATATAGTGGTGCTGTGACAGACACCTAGTAGCTGAATCTCCATATGAGTCCAAGTAGAAGCACCATGTTAATATAATGAAGCTATGTTCCACACAGTATAGCCAAGGAAAGGTTTCCAGTTTAGATTTATTCTGGTGCCAGCCTTAGCATCAACCTCTCACATAAGCCAGCAAATCACGTAAAACTCCACAACCTGTTGTGTTCATTCAAAAACAAAACACCACACAGTTGTGCACTGTATAGGGAACAACAACTACRCAGGTCTTATCCTACTCGGAGCAGAATATTGGTATACTACAAAATCAGAGGAAATTGCAAYGCAAAAAGAGAAGAGATGGATAAAATATCATTAGTCACAGGGCTTGCAGGACTGGCCATCTATTTTAGATCCCCAACCAGAAGAGTAGGGTAAATGATGGACAGATCTGGAGAAGTTACCATATTATCCATTCACTTATGGCCAGCTCCTGCACTTATGTCCAGTATCACTGAAGCAAAGTCTAAGTACCATTTAAATCTGACAGTTTGATGACATGGTCTTTAATAATAAAAGCYTCAGTAGTTTACATCTACTTCAGATATAAGTTAAAATATTGCTGTAGTTGGATGATCTATATTATGGATACAACATCATTTTTAATTACCTATCCCTAAGACCATAGTAAGAACAGTTTTCTGAAAATTACTGCCTGCCTGTTCCTATCAGGTCAAAGAATTCTATATASAAGTACAATCAATTATAATGTCATAAGAAACTTCCTTCACATAGATATATACAAGTAGAGCTTTGGCCTAAACTTAACATCCAAACAGCAGTGGAAAAAAAAAATTAAGAATGAAATAGTGTGCTCAATTCCAAATAAGCTCAATACAGAGACTCAGTAATTTCAATGATGAAAATGAGATGGCCTCACCTGATCTTTTATCAAGATAAAGCCAACTTCAAAAAGAAAAAGCAAACCCAAGTACTAATTTCAAAACTATTATATTGAACAAAGTGTTTTTCATAATTTTTCTCCTAAATAAAAACACCTTAGATCACACAACTCATTTCAGCATCCTCAAAAATCTACAAATTGTAGAAATACTGTATTTGTGGGGCAGGGGTAAGGGAAGACCTGGAAAAAGCACTATCAGCTCAACATGCAATGTGTTTTATGCCCAGATACCTTTAATTACCTATTTTTTCCATAGGTATAGGAACACATTCCGATRCAGCTTCGCCCAAAGCATTTTCAGCTTTCACCTGAAAGCAGGARGAACTGCTAAATGGAGTATCTGGGTAATAAAAAGCACAAGACTCGGTTTTGCTTTGGCAGCTGAAGCCACCTGTATTTAGAATAGCCACACCGCTCATCCTAAAAAGAAAAAAGTTAGAAATTAATGGCTTGCTAGGTTAGAATTCATTCAGTAGAATTCAATCAGTAGTTATATGTTTTAGGGGTTTCAAGTTATTTTTAAAGCAACAAATACTTCATTTGACATCATTTTTGTGCAAACAAATACTGTTCCCAAAATATTCTACACCTGCAAATCCACTGCATAGAATGTAAATTCAGTATATAATACATATAAACTATCCTGCACAGATATACAAGATAAATATCTAAGAAAAAAAAATAAAAATGTAAATTTTTCATGAAAATAGAAACATCCCACATGGTAGAGCTAAAAGACAATAAAACTTTTTTGTGTTTTTTTTGGAAGAAAGCCAAGTTGTAGCAGTGCTAAATTACTACAGGGTGTASAAGTCTGACATTTTTCTATCGGAACACACGTACAGATCAGGTATTTTATTTTCAACATATACTCTGCAAGTAGAGAGCGAAGGAAGAGCAGCTCAACTCATTTTACTTTAATCATAGAGAAATTCAAGTAAATCTCATATTATACAATAAATGAGAAATCCCCGGGACTAAGAATATCTTACAGATGTTACTTCATGCACATTTTAACCCCACATAACCCTGCACTRCTGAGAAAGGCAGCAGCCCTGTCTTCCCCAGCACACACAGGTGTTTCCATCCATAGCTGTCTGCTCCCTCAAGCTGATGATTTTATAGTCAAGGGGAAAACTCAGCTGGGGAGCAGACCTGGATTAAAATGAACAGTCCCATCTTCACAGAATCACAGAATATTCCAGGTTGGAAGGGACCTCTAGAGATCATCTAGTCCAACCTTCCTGCTCARGCAGGCACACCTASAGCATGTGGCACAGGGYGGCATCCAGGCGGGTTTTGAAGACCTCCAGAGTAGGAGACTCCACAACCTCCCTGGGCAGCCTGTKCCACTGCTCTGTCACCCTAACAGTTACCTGAAACAGTTCTGCAACACAACTGGCTGAACAATTACAGAAGAGTTTGTGCTGGTGTAGAATCAGCAATAGATACCTCTTAAGTAGCTGAGTCTTTGAAGCTGTATTAGCTAAGTTATAGAACTTGAAAACACTAGAAGCATCCACCTAATGATGAAAATTACCAGCTCTGTCAAGCCTAAACTGCCTATTTAAACAAAAAAAGATTAAATAGGCTAACAAAACTTGCAAAAACTTCCTGCTTAAGGATATTTTAGATAAGAAAACAATTTACGTGGGCACATTTGCTAGTCATGATTAGGCAGCACTGCTGGTGGTGCTTTCTGTTATGCAAAGTAAATTGATAAGGTGGTTTTGTCTCAAATCAACTTCAAAATTGTATTTGTGATCTATCTTGAAACATATACCACTATTTTCATAGTAACCTACAGAAAACATCTCAATTTAACTGCAATAGGAAGAAAATATGCATGCTCATAAAAAGCATGAGGCTACTACTACCTGTAAACACAAGTCCCCAGGTGTGATCAATCCAAAAAGAATCTTATAGTAAAAAAATATAAATTCTACAATATCCTCCTRTGCCACACTCCTGCAAGCAATCATATGTGGAATTCCTGTAGAGCATAAGAGTCTTTGCTTTAAGCAACTACTAGTTTGAAATCATTGGAGGAGAAAGTATATAAAACTCCCATACTAGGTGGGAACACTTAGTACCACAGGAAGTTCCCAGGTAACTCCCCAGAGCACATCCACTCTGACTTGGCAGCAGAATAACCTAAGGGATTTTATCTGCACAGAGGTTCACTAAGCTTTTGGTTTAGTTTGCATTGTTATTTCAGGGTTACAAAGGAATGTTATTTTTGATGCAAGTGTTTCTGTATTGAAGATTCAATCGAAAACGCTCACTTCTTTTATGCAATGCAGTGAAAAGGAGGGAGATTGTAACTTCTTTCAGTCACTATCAACCCAGAATTAATTTGGCTTAATGAAGGCTGTGCTTCACTGTAAACCCTGTGGTGATTCCAGACTTTGTTCACACAAGACTCAGGATATGAGGGAATGGAGCTAGCAGCCTCACCCAATACTCCAGTTCCTGATATATTCTATACTTACATTTTCCTGTAAAGTGTATATTTAGTTTTAAGATTCGTTGGTCTTCCCGAAGTCCAGTTACAAGCAAGTTTAACATCAAAGTAATAAATGCAGGAAATATTTCCTGGTGTGTCAGGTGGAACTACAATTACACAAAAAAMCTCTGGTTAAAAATAAAAATAAGCAAAATAAATCACTGATAAAAATCAATTATGCCTGTCAAAGTGTAGATTATAGCAAACTTTAGTAAATAACTTGTATAAAACTCTCCTATTGCCCTCCAAACTCAGCAGAATCAACTGTTTCTTTCCCTAGGAGAAAGATTTGCTCCAAATACTTAGCTACAAAATGCTTAGCTACACAGATCTGAAGGTGCTTTTATGTATATGAAGGTGCTTTGTGTGTATATTTATTTTGTTAACTTCTTCAGGTGAGACTGTGCTCATCACCTTCTATGAAACAGGATCAGTAGGGAAACTGTACTGAGAGGAAACCAAAGCTTGCTAGTCTAGCAGACTTAAGCAAAGGAACAGATTCAGGTCTCTGAACTCATCAAAACCCCTCTGACTTCAGTTGACCAAAAGTAAGGGTCAGAGGTTATGGACTAGCACTAATGAARAGACCAGAAATGTCATGCTCTGTTTTATATAAAAAGATACCTGAACATTGCTGCCTGAAGAATGCTACCAGCTAAGAATACATTTGAAATGTGTTTTACAAAGAGTTACTCAAAAATATTCCATTTAATTGTCCTATATTTCTACTTACAGCCAGATTTAGCTTCAGTGTGAACCAGAAGTTGTTCTTTGCCTAAATAATTAATGAAACATTTTACACGTGCTCTGTTGTAAGTGAAGTTATGGATAGTTACACTAGATACAGTCTCATTGACAACATTATAGTTCTCCTGAGCGATCAGTTCATGATTCAATTTCCAGATTATGTGGCTTGCATTCCTCTGAGGCACATAGTGATTCCCAAGAACACAAAGCAGTTTCAGGGTGGTTCCTCTTAGAATTTCAGGAGATGAAGGAAAAATCTCAGCATCTCTGACAGAGCTTTCATCTAAAAAACAAAGTCAGAAATATCACATAACCTRCTTCCTTTCATATTTGTTTTAAAACGCCCATGCAAAGTAACTTATCAAATATGTCTAAAGACCATATAAGCAATGAAAGATTAGAAGTCACCAGGTGCCCTCCAAGAGGAGGCACCTTCAAGAGGGTTTGCTGCCAGTTTTGGGCTCAACCCAACAGAAGTGCTGCCCGTGCCAGGAAGACGTTAACAGTGGTCACCCAGAATGGTCCGATCTCCCATCTAAAATTATGGYTTAAAAGGTAGTGCTGCTGCTGAGAGATAAGTCTTCAAATAATACTTAAAACCCATTTGTTTTAAACACATTTTATGTACAATGGGAAGTTTATCATATGTGGTTCAAATACATTCCAGAGACGGTATATTGATATTACTGACTAAATTCAGCTGATATTAATTACCACACTGACACAGATATTACATAAGAATGATGTTTCCACWATTTCTCAGAAATAATGGAAATATTTTAAACAAACTGTTTTTAATAGCTGAAAAAGGACAGTTATTCTTTGTCTATTTATCAGTTGTTATTCTTTTTGTCCATTCATATTTAAGAACTTTTTTTAAAAGCATGCCTTTAAGAGTGTATATTTAACTTGGATGTTATGATCACTAGTGAGCATACCAGAAAATACTGACTGTGGAACTGCCACACTAAGAACAGATCTCCAGACATTGCTGACAAAGTTATGAATAAAATGAACACTGATAGACATTCCATTAGTTTTTGAATAAATATTTCATTTGATTTAAATCAGTACTGTGATTTTAGACGTTAACTGCTTTTTAAATATTCACATATTGCATACATGTTAGTTTGTCAGCAGACCTGCAAATTTACCAGTCTTTATGAGCCAACAAGAATTACTCCATATGATTTTTTTCCAGATAGTTTTCCCTCCTAYATCCTGTAAGCCGGGAAATAGTTACATAGATAGGTTTTAAAATACACCAAAGAAAACAAACCCTATATAGCAATGACTACAGCAATGACAGTTAACATTCCAGAGAGACGAAGAATGTCAAGTGAATTCGTCACTCTAAACTGTACAGTACTCAGTCATCACTAAATACTTTTTTCCATTTTTGTAAATCTTGAATACATCTTTTAGAAAAGGCCTTTTTTTTTTTGAAAAATCTTAATGACATAAGTAATCAAGTAACATTCCATCCTACCTGCTGCAGAGYTCCTGCAGAGCAAGACAAACATCCAAATCAAACTGCTGAACATTTCCTTTTCAGTATCTAGGCAGAGAAAATACTGTCAAAAATAAAAATAAAATTTCAGAGGCATCTTTAAAATGTAACACTTGTAAAGATATACATACAATAAGTTAGAAACTTGATTCAGCATATCTCAAGTGGGTCTAAGTTAAAAGCCAGCAGAAACAAATGCAGCTTTTGCATTAGTTGGCAAATGGGAGAGACCTACTGCATGATTTGATCTTTAGTACAATAGAGGGGAGGCCTGCATGGAGTCTAGGGAAGACACCTTCCATAACCTCTTCTCCTGGCAATGAGCTTCAGTGCTGTGCGACACCTCCTTCCACCAGGACCCATTAGCAGTGTCCCTGTTTGACAGGCAGTTGCTTCAAGGTAGTGACTCCACAAGTCACTAGGCTCCCATCTTACATGGTCGTCATTGTGCTGACCAGCACCGCTTCACTTGTTCACTTAAGACGCTTCACATGAGTATTGAAAGAACATTCCCAAGTGAAAAGTCCATTAAATTCAGAAGTGCTTCACTTAGTGATTTAAGATCTAAATTCTACTGAGCACTAGAGTGCAAACCCATACTTGGTCCCTCTGGGCCATCTGAATGTGACATAATACAGATTAATTTAGAAAAGCTGTATGAGTGCTCAAAACTCCAAGGCACAAATCCGTTAGCAATTACATGTATCTTAGCGAGCAAGAGAACAAGGGAGGCAAACAGGGACATCTGGCTCCTTCCCATGTGGCGCACACACACACGAGCTTCCTAAACTAATGCTGCCAAGGAGAGATACTCCAGCAAGCACCAGAGAAGGGAGGTTTCCCTGCTTAGACCAAAGAGAACATGACAATATGAGATGAAGCAGTATGAGAGTGACAGTTAACAGCTTGAGGCAGCTTCCTCAACTGTTACTGAGCCTTGATGTGTCCACGCACGGAAAAGGGACAAGCTGTAGTAAATGATGCCAAGAACATTGCTTTCGTAAACCAGTCCCAATTGATCAAAACCTCAAGCCAAGGTAAGATGTAAAATATGAACATTTAAAGAGAACTCACACTTTTTTTTTAAATGCTATCATGATCTACCAAAACAATTTAAAATCCAAACTGCTGTACAAATAATACATATTTGTTGCAAAAACAGCAGCCACCACATGTATGGAGCCCTGTGACAGAGCAGTGGGGAGCGGAGCCTCTTGAGCTGCTAGAGCAACCTGGACAGCAGCAGTTTGCTCTAGAGGTGCCGGGAAGAACAGAGCCTTCCTTTCTCATTCTTCCAAAGTTCAATGACTTGTTCATAAAAAAAATTGCAAAATTACTGGAAATCAAAAAGCAGGAAAGATGTTTTCTTCCTTCAGTGTTTATGTAAAAAAAAAGAGTATGCTCAGCAAGATAAGATACTTTTGTTCTAAAATCCTGAAGGACACAGCGACCAGAAGTCAGTTCAGTTAATAACTGCTGATAATTCTTTTGTTTAGTACACTTCTGGGCAATGGAAACAAAACTTTGCTAAATCTTTTCCTTTATATTAGAACACTATTTAGCCTACCAAATATTAACACACTTTGATATAAAATGCATTTTTATCTAAATTCCAGATTTCACCTAGATGGAACTCAAATAGAAAAAAATAATATTCAATAATTCATTATTTTGTAAACCAACAAGCATAACAAATAAGTCTCTGAACATATCCCAACAGATAACACAGTTTAAAACATACTTGTTTGGCAGAAACAAAGAAGAAAAACAAGCAAGTTCTGACACCAGAACAAGATGAGATTTATTTAATGAACAGGCTGCTCTTGCTCGGCATACGTGGCCTCCTGATCTGAYGATGCTCACGGGAAAGGACAGGACACCGGGGCTGCTGCAACTGCTGGCATCGCTAGGCAGAGCAGCAGAGCTCACAGATGCCCATCACCCCGTGCTTTATCTGTGAGAAACAGGCAAACAAGGGCTTAAATAGCCCTCACCTACCAGTCTGCTCTTGGCGTTCTCTTAGCTTCAGTGTTTGAGACCACAGTGATTAGAGTTTACCCAAGATGACTGTGCTTACCATTTTCAAGCAGCAAGGTGCTATATAAAAGGGTTGCCTTTGTATCCTTTCTTGGGCACAGTAACTCAACAGAGCAAGAAAGAGTTCAAGATGCTTCTACTCTAGTAGGGAACTAGGTGAGAAATTCAGCAGGTCCTAACAGCAGCATCTGTGCAGTGTGCTTTAAAGAAAGGCAGAACTCCCAAGAGGGTTTTTCCAAGACCCATTCCCTCCTCCCAAATCTGGAAACTTTTTAGCTTGCAGTTCAAAACACACATCAGCCTGAAAACAAGAGGGAGGACTTTCTGCACCAGTTCAGAGCATTAGTTCCCTCTGCCCAGCTTTGCCTCTTAAACTAAGACCAAGAGATATTTTGCTCCCAAGTAAAATATCCATGCACAAACACACTTAAAAACTGTCAGCAAACTGTTTTGGAAACAGAACCAGGGGAAAAGGGAAAAAAGATTTCCTAGATTGCTCAGGTCATCAGAGTCCTAAAACACAAGGTATGATTAGTGATAATCACTGTCTTAATGTGGTGCTGAAAGTATTACAAGAACATTGAGAAAACTGCAGGATATCCTGTGCTGCCACATGGACCAGAAGCACGAACATAAAACATTAACGTAAATCATAAAACATCACTTTCCAACCTTACCGTGACCCTGCAAGCTTATCTTTCCAGATAATATGGGCATTCTGAAAGTTAGATTTAGCCACATGTTCCAGAAAACATTATCAACTCATTTAACTGAGTGAGCAGGGGTGAGTTCTGCACTTACACTGCTATTCCTGTATTGATTTTCAAGTGATAATTGGAATGTAGGCAATAGCCATTTGATTTCATATCTTCTGCACAACAGTCAAGAAGCTTATTCTCCACTCCCACTGTTAGCTATCCTCCTCCACATGCAAACAAACACCCAGACCTACTCATCTCCGCTTTATATAAGCTGTAAGACTTACAGTCTTCATGCCTTGTTTGAAAAAGTTTGCTTTAACTCCCTTTGGCTTTTCCTTTCAAAYGCTCTAGTATTTCATAATCTTCCTGAAGAAAAAAAGGCATTTGAACAGTCACAGCTGGATGGGCAGCAGAGGGAAGATCATCTCCCTCACATCAGTGCAATCAATGTGTAACAGGACAACGAAGCCCCTGCAGAGCCCATCTTCACCTTCCCCGAGCACAGCAGCGCTGCTAACTGCCCTCATGCTGCTATTCAAGCACAACTAGACACTCACCTGCTCTGCCTCCTGTTATATATTGAGGTATATCAGCCCTTTCTCCCTGGTAACTGAGGCAGTCATCTATGAGSATCCGTATCTCCCTCCAAGTCAGTACCTTCCAAGAGGGCTTTCTGCCCTGTTGAACATGCTCTGTATTCTCTGATCCCCAATACACCTGGGCTGTGTTAGCCTGGATGAGACAACTGAAAAGAAAGCATTTTACCATGTTCACTCAAATCATCTCAGAGAGACTTTATGTTGGCTTATGTCCTTTTCTTTATTACCAGTAATTTTCACATAACATGTAAATTTTATTAACATCTTTATCAAAGCTGCTGACTGGAATATGGAATAATAGTATAAAACCCCTTTGCATAGGACGCACTAAGAGTTACATCTTTGGATATTTTTCAAGGTATTTTTTCAATGTATTATTGAAAAAGTTCCCCATATGTTGCAAACATGGCAAATATTTCCCTTTAATGGATTATCATAATTATTCTACTGAAACCGAGATTTACCATTTTCAGTATAGCTATCTTTACAATGAAAAAAAACTTTTCTCTCCCCACTTTTGAAACCCTCCTTGCTGACAGATCAGTCTCTGCTTTATAACAAAATCCAAACCAACTATTCCATTCTGTTCTCCAATACATGAAGCATTTTTCCAATTTGATCGAGATTTCTCTTCCCCAGCATCTTACCTCTGGAACTAGAGCTTAGGCTGCRAATAGTTCAGCAACTCTTTTTAGAGCACCACACTCATATAGGTCCTTGAAGAAACTAGTTCAATGTGGTTTCTCCAACATAATCATCCATTTACGTGGGTAATGCTGAAGGCAGTCAGATGAAATGCAGATTTGCAACTGTGAGAAAATCTGAGCGAATCTAACTTAAGCAGCCAACATCTGGCGAACAGCCTGTTCTGCCTCTGACAATAGCATGTATCACAAACATTGTGAAAACCCATGGTATTGCATATACCAGCAAGAGCACTCCCAAGTAACACACATCACAGTAGGATTATTTTTGCAAAAGAAAAACAATTAGCTAAATAAGAAATTTCTGTTCCATTCCCTCAAAAGAATCAAGTAAACCTGAAAGGATTTGCCTGGCACGGGGTCCTTCACGCCATACGGAAGCAGGATCCCAAACCTCACTAGRAGCATTTTCAGTGCATGCACACAGCATCACCAGTAAGATGATATCCTGGGGAAGTGGTTTATACTTTCCCCACATACAACACCAAGAAAATTTCAGCAAAGGAACTCTGTTAGAAAGACAAGCCTTTAACTTACCGCAGCAGCTGAGTTTTCTCTTAAGGTGGAATAGCAACCTGCATCCCTCCAGGATTAAAAAGGGACTGAATAGCATAGGAAGTTAGCAGGCATAGCCCAGCTAACACTTCTTCCTGCAATTGAGAGAGAACAGTTGTAGTGCAAGCAGGGGCACTCACAGGAAGCGTCTGTACAACTTTCTCCGCGATGAGGAGCGGCTGTTGTGCAAGCGTGCACGGAGCTGCATTTCCCGCCACGCCGGCCGCCCACGGGAAGTCGCAAGGCCAGCGACGCGCCCGCGGCTCCCTGCGGCCCCGGCACCAGAGAGGGCAGGAGTAGGACAAAGCCAGGCTGGACACTGAATGGGGAGGACAGGACCGGGAGCCTCACAGCCGCCTCAGGAGTGCTCTGCTCTGCCCGCTGCCGCCCGCCCTCTCTCCTCTCACCGTCCCGCCTGCCTCCGGGGCCCCTTTCAAGAAGCCTCCTCCGCATTCCCAGGAGGACCATGAGGCACCGCCGCTGCCCAAGGAAACGCTGCCTCCACCAACACGGACACAGCAGCCAATGGCCGGGGGCTCTCTGGGACAGGCCGGCATCGCAGAGCTCCCTCCTGAGGGAGGACTGGCCAGCCCAGTGCTGCAGCCCTACAAGCAGAGCCCTGCTCCCTGCACTGGCACCAGTCTGACACTCACCCACCACGAGCCACCTTCCCYGTCATCCGGAGAGCTTTTCTGGGGCCAGCTCTCAGGCAAGGCCCCCTTGGACTCTAGAGGTCACAGAAGTCTTAGCACACGTTAACCTCATCTTTTCCTACGAGTAAACAGACAATCCACAGTTTCCCCTAGTGTAAACTTTAGGGTAATTCTCAGAAACATATTTAAGACTGTTTCAAAGTGTTGTCTGCATAACAATATATCCAACATCTTGATCTAGATGCATCAATTCAAGAACATAACTGTAAATTGCATAAGCTTTTAAAAGGAAGTGACATGATCATTAGGTAACAACCATTACTGACCTGCGCTGACAGAAATGTACCTAATTCATGAGGTAATCAGCAATTAGAGAACAGRAATTATGATCCCTTCCAAAGCAAGGAAATGTACTCCAATTAGTGACTTGAGAAGAAAATCATCCAGCCATCAGCAGATAGGAAGGAATGTAAGCAAAATTATTACTTCTGTAACACTGCAATTAAAGGGGATACTATAAAGCTAATGGAAAGTCTACATGCCCAGTAACACACATCTTAAGCACCAAGAGTGCATTTTCTAAGCAGAAAACTGTTTAGAAGGTGCTTTCCTGCACCTTTCGAAGCAGACAATTAAACCACCAAGCACATAAACCCTTTCAAAACCTTCATCAATGCAGATGTCATCCAGAAGTCTTGTCCCCAATCCAAGAAGATATCCATAATGGAATTTACTTGTGGATTTTCCCTACACTGTCACAGGCAAGACAGAATAGACAAAAAGCCACAACAGATCTGGATACATCATTTTAAATAAACAAAAGACACAAACAACAACACAGGCCAGAGTCACAGCTCTGCCAGGCTTGCACCCTTGCCCCGGTCAGTGCCTTGCTCTCCAAGTGCCAGCTTCCCAGCTCTGCTGACCCAGAGCAGCTTGCCAGTTCCCTGTATTACAGCCAAGGGCTCCCTGCATTCACATCCATACATCTCTCCCATCTTCAGGACCCCCCTCCTCACCTCTAGGATCTTTTAGCTAGCCATGACATTAACCACCTTTACCTTTCTGGACTTTAAGCTCCAATTTTCCCCAGTCTGACAGTGCAAAAGCACAAAGTGTAGCTAGACTACTAACACGTGGCTCTTTTCATGGCTCCAAATGAGGATTTGGGATATGCCGCTTCTGTTTAGTCCAGTTATAAAACTTCACACCAGCACGCAGTGCTGCAGCTTAGAAGCAGGCTGGCCATCTCCCCTCCACATCCTGTAGAAAACAGACAGCTACTTGCTACCTGATACCACGCACAAGCCTTTTTTGTGGCAACTACAGCTTTCTACACCATTTMATTCTGCTGGTTCATCTCTACATAAGACTATCTAACAAAGCAAAATCCCCAGATCAAATTGTTCATTTCAGACCATGTGGTTGATGTGCTTGAATACTTTGGATTCACAGTTGTCAATTGGTCCTGGCATCTGACTCTTTCCTCCCACTTGCTTGGCCTCTTCCTCACAGCAGCCATTTCATCCAACTTCAGCACCCACCCCAAACTCCAGGGCATTCATTAGAGCCGCCAGCTTTTCAGCTGATCAGCTATATTCATGCTTTTGCTTTCATTTTTGCATCAACACTTCCCTCTCCCCCCATTCCCCATGACCAGAATGCAAGACTAAAATAAACTGTTTTTATTCCTCTAAATTTCCTCTCATACTCAGAGGGTTTTATTTCAATAACATTAGGTTATTTTAATGTTAGTGTACATGTCAACGTTTGGAAAGTTACATTTATTTTACTATTAAATAGCTTAYAACACAAGTGTGATTCAATATAAACAGAAGCAAACTGATACTTACATTCTCCTTGACACAGCAGAAATTTTCCTTCAGTGAACATAAAGTGATCAGTACTAGACTCTGAATTATGTGCACCTATATTCTTGACATACTCCAGTAGCTGCCTGTGCCAACAGATTGATACAGTACACTGAAAGATGGGGCCATCTTCTATATCAGTAAAAACAGTGATGAAAACTTGCACCAGACCTAACAGAGCAGTTAAGGATATGCTTTAGAACAAATAAATTTGAGTCATCCTTCTGACTACTTAGGACTTCCCAAAAGCTTATAGTTCCCACAATTTTAAACATTCCAGTAGACTGTGTGGTTTTGGATATTTCGGGATGTCGAGGGCACTTGAGGAGAACAGTAATAAATACTCCAGTCATCACCATCTATAATCATTTAATTGTAAAGAAAAACATTCTACAGAGAGGTGACAAGAGTTTATCAAAAGTGATTCGCCATGGAAGACAGGAAGCCTGAAAGAATATCAAAAATCTATCCCAGAAACATGCTTTCACTTACGGACATTTTTGTCCTGTTTGGGTGGGAATGCTCCTACACAAAAGATGCTCCTGCTGAGCTGTCCAASTCATTCAGCCATTCCCAGTAACTGTCAAATTAAGGGATACATTCAAACAGCTCTAACGAGCTATCCACCTCAAACTGAGGGTAGAAGTGTGCAAATCAGACAACTTTACAAGCTGCCAAAACAGTAACAACTAGACATGAACAAGATGAGCACATCACTCATTTCACCAGCACCCTGAAAAGCAGTTTTTCTTTTCTATTGCCAGGGAGAAAGTCAAGGTGCACATGGCAGCAACTGGTGTTGAGAAAGCAGCATCTGCTGAGCAGTCTGTTGTTTGCCTTGTTACATTTTAGCCAAAGCAAGAGCAAGTTACCTCTCCTCTTCGCACTGCTCTTTCCATCTCTCTCTTCTCTTTATATGACTTCTCTAGTTCTCACAGCAAGTTTTTCCTCTTCCTGTGCTGATGCAAAGCCCTCTTCCAGACCTTAATGATTCATCCTCTTGAAAAACACACATTTTCTCCACACTGGGAAAAAAGTGTTGGTTCAAATACCAAAGTTGTAACTCTACTCTTTCTATGAATGTGTCATAATTTAATTGCAAAAGGAAACAAAAATTTACATGTTGGGTTTCTAGACATTTTGGTTTCACTGTTAACTTCAATTGGAACATGTTAATATAGCCCACAGAAGCATTTGATTCAGTGATTTACTGTACTTATTTTTATAAAGAGTTCAGAGTGGCCACATCATATTCTTTCTGGGCAGATTTTGTAGCTAGAAAAAGGTTACCACTAAAACAATCTTTATGTAAA